CACGTCTCAAGTTATATATATATTCAGTAATGGACAAAAGTATATAGACAAATATGAATATTTACCTACAGTATATTCAGATAAGAGATAGATCGGACATAAACAAGACCACGTGATCATCGAACGCTGTAACATTCGGCAGGGACGTATTAAGAGTCACGCAGTACATATTTTAGATAGTAGATGCTGCTTTGCGTAACTTTGTAGTAAATTAGCACAATTCGATGTGTATACGATTGGTGATGGATATAGGATCATGTGGGGGTGGGGTAAGAAATATATAATGATGTAAATATACATAAGGGTTTCAAAATTTTCGCTTCGATTTCCAGCTTCGGATGCCGCCTGATGTTTGGTGAAATACAGTCGAATATAATCTCAAAATGGCGTTTAAATTAGCCTAAATTAAAAATAATCGTATATCTCTTAAAATTGCTTTTAGAATATTGATTAGTATATTTTTTGATTTCTAGGTAAATATGTAACCAAATTAAAACGTTCAAAACGTAAAAAAATGTGCATGGTTGAACATTGTCAGAAAGTAGATTCTTGAATAGGTTTTGCCAAAATGGGTTCAAAAATGTCAATAATTAATTAAAAAATACAGTAGCTTTATAATTACTTATAACTTACCGAATTTGATGAACGACATCTTTTATTGGAAAGATGAGCTTGATGAGCTTTCATCATCGCTACTGCCTGAAGCACCAACGTCAATAATGAATGGCTCGACTTGTTCCTCTAAAATATTGTCCAGCTCCCACATTCTCTTTTCAACTTTGTCTTTCACGTGCTTAATAGAGTATTCCCATTTTTGCGCTGTTATTAATTCTAGTGCTTCTTTGAAAAGTCCTTTGAGGTCACAAAATTTAAAAGTTGTATTGTGCTTAGCTATATAATTTTTAACCTCTGCCCATATGAGCTCAATGGGATTGAGCTCGCAAAGGTATGGAGGTAAACGGAGCACAGTTTTATTTTGACTTGCTGCCATTTCGTCAATGGCGTATTTTTGATATTCCGCCTTGTGATCCTTGACAATTCTTAATAATTGTACTTTCAGCATTGCTTCTTCAAAGTTGATATTTTACGAGCGGAGCCAATTTTGAACATCAACTTTCCTTGAAGCCGTTGTTGGGACCTTCTCCATTCTTCGAGAATGATAAGGCGCATTATCCAACACAATTACTGCGTTTTCCTCTAAGTTCGGTAAAATTTTTGAAAACCACTGTTCAAACGATTCGCCATTCATTTCCTCGTGGTAATCTCCAGTTTTCTTAGACTCAAAGCACCACAGACCGTCAACAACAAATCCATCCTCACTGCCAATATGGCAGGTAATGAGCCTTTTCCCTTTATCTGGAAATCGAAGTACTAACTGGTGTAGATTTACTGGTGTAGAACCTTTTTCAAATGTTTTCATCACATTCAGCGAAAAAACATTGAGACATGAGTATCAGATTGCTATAATTGGGATTATTTAGTCATATTGAAAGAAAGAATATTGAACGTCATATGATTACTCAACGCTTCACAATTTAATTTAAAGTTATAAACCTTTAAAAAATGAATGATCAGGAACCTGAAATACGCGCAAATATTAATATTAACAAATTATAACTTTATAAAGCTTAAAGTATGAATTAAAATGATTAGAAATATTAGAAATGGTACACAATATAAAACTTAGTAACTTTTTTTAAGTTTATAATATTCGACATATTTTAAGATTATATTAAAAAATTATTGAAATATCGAAAACACATAAAAACATGGCTTAAAAAAGTTCTAACAAATGAAAATGACAATAAAACATCCACGCATTTTATCGAAAGTTATAAAAGTTTTGTTACTTGTAATATGTTTTATCTGCCCCCTGGAATTAATATTTAGAACCTTGTTCCCAAGGTTTGAAAAACATCCGATTGTTGTCTATTACTCGTATTTACCTGCTGGATTTTTTAATCCGGTGGACAGTCCATCTAGAAAGGCCCTCCTGGATGAAGTTACAGAATCATCAACCCATACTTTACTTGTAGTGTGTCCTGCGTTTACCCACGTTTCATCAAGGTAATAAATCTTCCTGTTTGATTTCTATATTTCCCAATTTTTGTTAAATAATCCCTCCTCCATAGCACAATTTCTTCTCTATCCAGTAGTAAACTATTACGACCCCGTTTTTTCCATTTGAAATTTAAATGCTTCAGTAACGCATGGAAAGTTAATCGTTTGAAATTTGGCAACTTTGTATCTCCATTTACCTCCTGCAGTACTTTATCTATAGTAGGTATTTCATTCCTAAAGAAGAATTCATGCACTTTCCTCCTAATCTCATGCTTATCAGCTTCATCCAATGATTTAACAATACTTTTGCGATGTTTACTGGTCATTGGCTTAGAAAAGGTGTGATTTTTTTTGTATTGTCTTAACACATTAAACACTGATGCGCGACACACCCCAACTTTGTGAGAAACCTTCACAACAATTTCTTTGATGGTTGATGCCTCGTTCTCCCCGCGCTCGATCTTATATATATTCAAAATGACCTCTTTCATTTCTGCACTAAAGGTGTCTTTTTTTAGAGCGTTTCCTAGGTGGACTACAGGAGTTTACAACTTCATCGGCAGTATCTGTACTACTGGGCAATTTGCGCAAGCAGTTGATAACAATAACAATCAATAACAAGGCATAACAATAACAACGACAAACTCAACAACTTAATAAGATAACAAACGAAAACGTCCGAAGAAATATCAAATTGCAATGATGCACACGACATACGTAACACGTCTGAACCTGAATGTGACTCTGCCTTGATACGACTGCTCTGCCGCTCGGCATAGGCATTTAATTGCGAATTGACCGATGAGGGCTCCTGTTTTACGTCGAGACGGCGGCGTTAGCGTGAAAATCACCCGAACCTTTTGTTTACATCCGGTCTATCTCTTATCTGAATATACTGTAAATACCTTTAGAAAAATGCGTTATTAGTAGAAAAACTAAATTCCTTCTTTTTGCATTATCTGCAATGAACACAATACAGGTCTGAATATAAGCACTTTTTTATGAGGGACAAAAATATGTAGACAAATTCTTTTCAACATTAGTTTAGTACAGTTTTCTGTCTGAAGAGGATTAGTTTGTGTTTATCAAGTATTCTGGAAAAAGTTGAGTGATTTTAAGACCATGCCGCGTGGTCCAGAAGTTTATTTCGATGAGGAAACTAAGATCATTGAGTTATACAAAGATGGTCAACGTCAAGTTGGCATTGCCAAAATTTGAAGCTGAAGAGTAAAGCAGTTTGGGCAATATTGAACAAATATAAACAAAAAGTTATTTTGGAAGCCTCTAAGAGAAGTGGTCGGCCTAGAAAACTAAATGCTAGATCAGTTACATTAATAAAAGTAATTTCGTCGAAAGATCCGTTTAAAACCCCAAGACAAATAAAAGCCGAAATCAAGACAAAAGGAATTGCCAGTGCTTCTACGAAAACTATAAGTAGATGATTAAATAATTTGAAGGTATTTGCACGTCGCCCGAGTAAGAAGCCGCTAATCTCGAGGAAAAACCGTAAGGACCGATTACAATTTGCACGGTTGCATCTTGATTGGAGCATATTTGACTAAAAGAGGGTATGTTTCAGTAACGAATCCAAGTTCAATATGTTTGGATCAGATGGTGTTCATTACGTTAGATGTCCCATTGGACAAAGATTGAACCCCAAGTACACTTTTCCTACTGTCAAACATGGAGGGGGGTCTGTTATGGTTTGGGGGCGCTTTTCAGGGGTTTGGGATGGGACCTTTTTACATAGAATGGATGGCATTATGGATAGTTTGTATACACAGATATACTAAAGCATGTCATGTTACCCTATATGGATGACAATATGTCCTTGAGATGAAATGGCCTTCACAGTCTCCCGATATAAACCCCATTGAAAATCTATGGGAATACTTAGATAAGCAGATACGAGATGAAAATTATTCAATCAAGGATGAACTTTTTGTTGCTTTAGAGAAAAAGTGGAGACAGATTGATGAATCTTATATCAAGAAACTTCTACAATCTATGCCGAGACGATGCCAGGTGGTGATTGATAATACTGGTTATGCTACAAAATATTAACACAAACATGGTTGGTTTGCTATAATTCAATGAATTTTTTTTCTATAATTGTTTTGCTTTGTCTATATACTTTTGTCCTTCATAGTGTTTTTCAACTAATTTTTTATTTATGTATTAGTGAGTATTATGCTATAACGAATTAGGTATACAGGTTGGTGTATTAATAAAACAAGTTAAAAATGAAATACAGCACAATATTGATTTGTCTATATACTTTTGTCCATTACTGTATATATATAGGCATGGAGAGGGTAATTCAAAAGAAGTACGAGGTCGAGTCGAAAGTCATTTATTGCGAGAAGTTAAAAATTCGATAATTTGAGTTATAGCCAACTTACGAAAAATAAGAGAAACCTCTTTTTTTAAGATAGCCCAAAGATGAAAAAGATTCATAGAAAAATTTCCAAGATCAAAAATTGAGAATCTGACATGGCCCCAAACTCTGCTAAAAGCCTGACTTCCTTTGCCTACCCTGTATAAGTGGATAAGTAAAAGAAATATACCGGTCGTACTCTGCACGTTTTTTTTCAGAGGTGTTCAAGAACCTCCGGTATACCGCAGCTCGATATCTCTATCCGTTCCGAAAATATCGAGATTCGAATTTGGGTAAAATTTTCCATGTTACAAAGCCACCAGTTCATACTTGAAAAAGGTTTTTCTTTTACATTGTAACCAAATTGTGAAACTGATAGGCATTCACACTGACCTCAAGGCGAAAATGCTCTAATAATAAGCAAAATTTCATTCTTTACTTGTGTCCTTCCGCCTAGTTTCGATTACAAAAACTAATAGGTATATCTTGAAACTGAAGAACTCATCGTCTTCACTACTTAATGATAACTGTCTATAACTTCTATTATTCTAGGGTATTACCGAAGCGGTTTCTCACGGACTGGCCGTCTTTTCTGTATTTTTGCTACTCGTCGTATTTCCTTGTGATCTCAGTATTAGCCTTGGCAGCATATGTTCTCAATGCTGGAACACTTTACGTAGCACTCACCATAAGTTTCCAGTACCAGCTTCTTGTTGATGACCTCAATAATATGGTGCTCATACACCAAGGGTGTTTTTCTCTCATAAATAACTCTTACTACCAAGATGTTATATACAGAAACTTGAAGCAGTCTGTGAAGGATTATCGTGTAATAGAAGAGTGAGTATTATATGATATTACTAACAACAATGCTTTCGTGTTGCCACTGATTAACATATTCCAAGTGAGTGAAAGGCGTACGTGCGCAAAAAATAATGACCTGTGTCGAAGAGTAAAATTCAAAATAACATGGCAAACTTAGAAGAAGGAAGTAAATAAAAAAATAACAGAAAACTTCCCTATAAACATACATTCTAAAATTTTCCATTACCAAGGTACTGCGTGCTGGATTTACAATATTAAGACTGAAAGAGAATATATACATATATACATATAAATCCGAATACCCAGTTTAAATGGTTTTATTTTAATAAAATTTTATATAAGTACTTAATGAAGCATAATAAGTAAATGATAAAAATTTCAAAATGATTGCACTGCACTTCGCATTCTCCAACGCGCCTAGGCATGCTTCTGATCAGGTGGTCAATGTCCTCCTGTGGTATCTCATTCCAGGCAACCACCAACTCCTCTCGAAGTGCTTCTAGAATCTGAGGAGGACGTTGCAAATTGAGCAATCTCCTACCCATCATATCCCACACGTGCTCAATTGGGGATAAGTTGGGAGATCTTGGTGGCCATGGTAACAATGTGAGATCATTATGTTGAAAGAAGTCTATTGTGACTCTTGCAACATGTGGTCGGGCATTATCTTGTTGGAAAGTTGGATCTGCCAGGGTGTCAAGATAGAATAAAAGATGGGGTTCTAGAACTTTGTGGATATAACGCTGCGCGTTCATGTTACCTCTGATGAAGATTAAAGGTGACCTGGAACCATAAGCTATAGCACCCCAAACCATAACTCCAACAGTGTGATGAACATGTCTTTCAACAAAAAACTGTGGATTCCTCCTTTCACCACGTCGCCTTCTAACCCTGGCACGACCATCGTGCATGCCTAAACAAAATCGAGACTCGTCACTAAAGACAATACTGTTCCATTCCTGATCCCAGAGTGACCGTTGTCTGCACCACTCAAGGCGATTACGTCGGTGTTCTCGAGTTAAAGGGAGGACCCAGTGTGGCCGGTATGAAAACGAGCCAAAACTTCTCATTCGTCGGTAAACACTTCGCATGCCAATAGGTCTTCCGTGTTCTGCAAACCATTCATTTGCAATGGACCTGGTAGTGGAGAAGCGGTCCCTTAAAGCCAATAATCTTAGGCGGTGATCTTCACGGTCTGTTGTTCTACGGCGGCATCCAGTGCCCCTTGCTCTTTGCGTACGGCCTTCTCGAAGCCATGCCTGACAACATCTAACCACAGTGTCTACACTTCTTTGCACTCTAACTGCACTTGCCCGAAAAGAAAGTCCAGCTTCCCGAAATCCCACTATATGGCCCCTATCAAACTCACTAAGTTGACGAAATCGTACAGGTCTCCGTACTCTAGGCATCGTAACCGATCGAAAAGGATGTCAAGAACCAAAATCCGCCAACGTTGATTCTTTACTGCGGCTGAAATATTCATTTTTAGTGCGTTAGTGAATTAAAAAAAAGCAGTATAAAAACCGGAATGTCCAACTGATAAGGCTGAACATTTTTTCACTTGTTATTTACAGTAAGATAAAAACATTCACCAACTTTTATTAAAATAAAACCATTTAAACTGGGTGTTCGGAATTATATGTCACTTAGTATATTTAAAGATATTGATTCGAAATTGTACACAGGTTGCAGTAAAAGCATTTCCGCTACCAGACAAGAATTTTTGTTCTTTGCTTTAAACCACACCAATTCGAAAATTTTGATTTCGACAGAAGAGCAAGGAAATTTGTTTTCTACGCTACTGACTTTTTAAAAACAGCTATTGCATTTCTGAGTGATGCCATTCTTACACTAATCTTCCCTATTGTAAAGCCTCTTTCAAGCTGCTGCTTTTGAAAAAAAAAATGGTGTGAATATTTGGGGTAATATCCTCATGAAAAACTTGAACTTTCTCTCTCCTTACTGTCAAAATTCGCTAAGTTAGTGAAGTTCGATATAGAAAATTGTATAGTGTACGAAGAGAGTAATATCATCTCACTATTTGAACAATGCTCATCTTTTGCTCTTGCTTACTCTCATCAATAGGGTAGGAATCTACACCGTGCACCTTAAGTAATAATATACTTGAGAACCACCCACGGGTGCTTAGGCCTAAGGCTTCCGGGTGATGCTGCATTTGTTACCTTTTCGTAAAAAGTATTTTTTTATAAATCAACGTTATTATTAACCTAATAAATATTATTTTCCGAAACTTTCAATATTCAAAAAAATAACGCACTAAATTGTATAATCAAGAATTAATGAAATATGTTTTAATTATTCTACCCAATAAATACGTTTTAATTTATTAAATGTTCGAAATGAGCACCTTGTTGCTGTTGGCAAAGCTCATTTCTCTCAATTGTTTTACGTATTACATTTTGAAGATGCGTTGGTGTAAATCTATACTAAGTGACATATAAATCCGAACACCCAGTTTAAATGGTTTTATTTTAATAAAAGTTGGTGAATGTATTTATCTTACTGTAAATAACAAGTGAAAAAATTTTTAGCCTTATCAGTTGGTTTTTATACTGCTTTTTTTTAATTCACTAACGCTCTAAAAATGAATATTTCAGCCGCAGTAAAGAATCAACGTTGGCGGATTTTGGTTCTTAACATCCTTTACGATCGGTTACGATGCCTAGAGTACGGAGACCTGTACGAGTTCGTCAACTTAGTGAGTTTGATAGGGGCTGTATAGTGGGACTTCGGGAAGCTGGACTTTCTTTTCGGGCAATTGCAGTTAGAGTGCAAAGAAGTGAAGACACTGTGGTTAGGTGTTGTCAGGCATGGCTTCGAGAAGGCCGTACGCAAAGAGCAAGGGGCACTGGACGCCGCCGTAGAACAACAGACCGTGAAGATCGCCGCCTAAGATTATTGGCCTTAAGGGACCGTTTCTCCGCTACCAGGTGCTATAGCTTATGGTTCCAGGTCACCTTTAATCTTCATCAGAGGTAACATGAACGCGCAGCGTTATATCCACGAAGTTCTAGAACCCCTTTTTTTCACTATCTTGACACCCTGGCAGATCCAACTTTCCAACAAGATAATGCCCGACCACATGTTGCAAGAGTCACAATAGACTTCTTTCAACATAATGATGTCACATTGTTACCATGGCCACCAAGATCTCCCGACTTATCCCCAATTGAGCACGTGTGGGATATGATGGGTAGGAGATTGCTCAATTTGCAACGTCCTCCTCAGACTCTAGAAGCACTTCGAGAGGAGTTGGTGGTTGCCTGGAATGAGATACCACAGGAGGACGTTGACCACCTGATCAGAAGCATGCCTAGGCGCGTTGGAGAATGCGTAGCACATCAGGGTGCATCCACACATTATTAAAGGTCAAAGGGCTTTAAAGCAGTGCAATCATTTTGAAATTTTTATCATTTACTTATTATGCTTCATTAAGTACTTATACAAAATTTTATTAAAATAAAACCATTTAAACTGGGTGTTCGCATTTATATGTCACTTAGTATATTAAGGATTGCCCTTCCTTTGTTTTCCAACTCGTTTCGTGACGTGGACGGTGTATTATAGACCCTCATAAATAAAAATCTAGGGGTGTTAGATATGGTAACCTAAACATTTAAATAGACAAATTAATTTTGATGACGATTTTGAATCAGTTCTACGTACCTTGGAGGCCATCTAACTTTTAGTCTAATCATATTTGCAAATTTCCCCGAAATAATTGTAATGTGGTTTAATTGGTGCAACTTGTTCAAGGGGGTATTTAAAATATGGACGCATAACAACAACAATTTTTGTGGGAAAACGTTTTATTTGAAAATAAAGAATGAGAAAACGTGTTTTTGAGGATTCTATCTAAAGTGCTGACAGGAACAAAAAAACTTTTATCACAAGTTTTTTAGGTATTTATGGGACCTACAAAAGAGACCACACGTTAAAAGCTCCGACTAATAGTACTTGTTGGTAATCCGACGATAATTTCACACAAATACTTGAAATTTTTCAAATCCGGAGGACTGATACTTTTAAATAACAACAACAAACTTGGAGTATATTGGTCAAGTATATTTTTTGAGAATTTCTAATTGTTTATCCCAAAACACCTTTTTCCGGCCATCACTACTAGTTTATTGAGCAAAATACATGGTTCGTTTAAAGAGCATTCAATAGCAAAATACATGTGTTTACCATGCCGATATAAATCTCAAACCATTCCGAAAGATAAATGTTATTTTTATGCGGAAAACAGAGATTACGTTTTTTTCTTCTAAACAAATACAAACATCTCGTATTTATGAGCAATTGAACAAATGCGCTACGATATTCGAAAAGCATATGTTACTATACACATTTTAATACAAAGCGGATGTGTTTTTCATCTTTTGTTGCGAATTACTCACAAATGAGAGATGTATGAATTTGTTTGGAAGAAAAAACGTAACCCATCCTTTTTTGCATAAAAATAACATTTATCTTCCCGAATGGTTTGCGATTCATATAGGCAAGGTAAACTAGTGTATCTGTAAGACAGGTGTTTTGGGATAAATAATTAGAAATTCTCAAAAACTACTTAACCAATTTACTCGAATTTTTTGGTGGTTATTTAGAAGTACGAATCCTAGGAATTTGAAGAATTTCAAATATCTGAGAAAAACTATCGTCACATTACCAACAAGTACGAAAGCCTGCAGTCTGCCTCGGTTTTCGGCCATAACCTTTTTGCTATCGCTCATATCTTTTTAAGTGTAGTCTCATGTTGTAGATCTCATAGATACCTAAAAATTTTATATGAAGAATTTTTTGTTTCTGCCAACACTTTCGATTGATTCCCAAAAAACACGTTTTCTCATTATTTGTTATCGAGTAAAAAGTTTTCCCACAAAAATTAGTGTACCCATTTTATGCGTCCCTGTTTTGAATACCTTCTTGAACAACTTGCAGCAATAAAACCACACTTCACAATTATTTCGCAAACCAGGGGTATCTTTGTCCAA